GAACGCCCCCCTGGTCACGGCCGACAAATGATCTTCCAATGTCAGCCGTGGATCCAGGAGGACGCCCAAGTTGCGTGCCCTCTCTGAGGGGGCCAAAATTTCACCCCCTATAGTCAGCGATGGAGTCAGCTGACTATGCCGAGACGCCGGCAACCACAGCCACTCGGTCTTGGAAGGGTTGAGCCTGAGTCTGTTCCTCAATCAAGAATGCCAGCAAGGACTGTGATGTGGAGGCTATTGTACATCTTGGCACTAACGATCTGTCCCAAAAAGATGTACTCTCTGTGCAGAATGACTTCCAGAGCCTGGGGCAGGAACTTAGCAGAATAGGCTGTAGGCTTATTTTTTCAGAGGTTTTACCGGTGTATAAGGAGCAAAATGGAAAAGGCCAGCGTATCGCACAATTCAATATCTGGCTAAAGGAGTGGTGTAAAGGGGAAGGCTTTGGATATATTAGTCACAATGTCAGCAGCTGGTCCAATGAAGAAATGTACAAAAGAGATGGTTTGCATCCATCAAAGAAAGGGACTGAGTTACTCGGCTATAAATTCACAGATTTTTCTGGAAGAATATTTAAACTAAACAGTGGGGACAGTGAGTTAATTGATATAGAACATCCCTGTCCCTGGCAATCTAAAAATTATAGGCCTATCAGTGCAGGTAACATAGATGTGTGTGTGGACAAGAATACCTCCAAGGTCCCGTCCAGCTTCTATTCTATTCTATTCTATTCTATTCTATTCTATTCTATTCTATTCTATTCTATTCTATTCCAATTTCTATTCTATTCTACTCCAATTTCTATTCTATTCTATTCTATTCTATTCTATTCTATTCCATTCCATTCTGTAATTCTATTCTATATCATTATTCTATTCTATTCTGTTCTGTTCTATTCCATTCCATTTCATTCTCTATCCTATCCTATCCTATCCTATCCTATCCTATCCTATCCTATCCTATTCTATTCTATTCTATTCCATTCCGTAATTCTATTCTATTCTATTCTATTCTATTCTATTCTATTCTATTCTATTCTATTCTATTCTATTCTATTCTATATTCTATTCCATTCCCATTATTCTATTCTATTCTATTCTATTCTATTCTATTCTATTCTATTCTATTCTATTCTATTCCATTCCATTCCATTCCATTCCATTCCATTCCATTCTATTCTATTCTATTCCACTTGTCTATTGAAGAGTCTCATTCATCGGAAAACAGATTTTTCCCACAGCCAGGGGAGAACCCCTAACATTCTCCCTGCCTTTGCTCTAGGTTCGAAGATGAGCGGAACCAGGCCAGGAAAGAGCGGTACGTGTCCTTCCGTACGTGGGCCAGGAGGGGGAGGAAGGGGAGGGTCACCCAGACCCACTGGGGGAGCACGTCCGGGAAGGGACCGTTTCATCCGGCCGTGCTCTCTTTCGTTCCAGGACAGAAGGAGCGAAACAGGACACGGCGGAGAGAGAGAGGTAAGCTTTCCCTGTCTCATGCCAGGGATGGTCAGAAGAAAGCTAAAAAAAATTGAGGGAGGCAGGAGACCCCTTTCCCCTCCCAGAGGCTAGTCAGAGATATCCGGGGCATGACAACTTCCCCGTGCTGGCTGGGGAATTCTGGGAGTTGAAGTCCATCCGTCTTCAGGAGGCCAAGGTTGAGAAACCCTTCCGTGCACCTGATGGAGGGAGCTGCAGATATCCCAAATTTAGGCCTTGGAACAAAACTGGCTCATTGGAAAAAGGGGCTCCCTCCGATCCTATCGCTACTCTGGATAGGTGAAGCTGTCCTGCCAAAGGACAAGGGGACCTAGGGGTGGCCGGAGACGTGAAGAAGAGAAGAGGAGGCTTGTAGCTCAGGGTTGAACTGTGAGTGGTCCTTGGTGCTGTCTCTGAGCTGGGTGGTTTTCTTGCAGACGTTTCATGACCCAACTAGGGAACATCATCAGTGCTAGAAGGGAAGAGGGTGTGTGGAGAGGAGGAAGAGGAGAAGAAGGAGGAAGGACTGTGGGGTCCTTGGTGCTCTGAACTTGCTTGTTTTCTCGCAGACTTTTCATGACCCAACTAGGTAACATCATCAGTGCTAGAAGGGAGAGGGGTTGGCAGAGAGGAGGAGGAGGAGAAAGAGAAGGAGGAGAGGGAGGAGAGGGAGGAGGAGGAGGAAGAGGAGGAGGAAGAGGATTGTGGGGTCCTTGGTGTTCTCTGAGCTTGGTTGTTTTCTCGCAGACTTTTCATGACCCAACTAGGGAACATCATCAGTGCTAGAAGAGGAAGGGGTTTGTGGAGAGGAGGAGGAAGAGGATTGTGGGGTCCTTGGTGTTCTCTGAGCTTGGTTGTTTTCTTCAAGATGTTTCATTTCCAAACTAGGAAACATCATCACTGCTAGAGCGGGGGGGGGATTGCAGAGAGGAGAAGGAGGAGGGTTGTGGGGTCCTTGGTGCTCTCTGAGTTTGGTGGGTTTTTTGCAGACATTTCATGACCCAACTAGGGAACCTCATCAGTGCTAGAAGGGAGGAGTGGGGTTTGTGGGAAGGAGGAGGAGGACAGTCGGGTCCTCGATGCTCTCTGACTTGATGGTTTCCTTGCAGACATTTCATAACCCAACTAGGTAACATCATCAATGCTGGAAGGGGGTTTGTTGAGAGGAGGAGGAGGAGGAGGAGGAAAATTGTGAGGTCCTGGTGCTCTCTGCAATTGGTGGTTTCCTTGCCGATGTTTCAGGACCCAACTAGGTATCATCATCAGTGCTGTCATTACCTTCCAGCACTGAAGATGTTACCTAGTTGGGTCATGAAACGTCTGCCAGGAAACCGCCAAGCTCAGAGAGCATCAAGGATCTCACAGATGTCCCCTTGGATGTAATTCAGAAGCTGGATCTTTCCCCTTCTCCTCTCTTTTGAGGCATGCAAGGGCCTTTTTTGGGGGGGGGGGTGTTTCATGACACAACGTCAGAGTGCTTCTTTTCCAAGGTTCAGGAGTTAGCTTTGCATTTCCTGCAGGAAAGGACTTCCCAAGACGACTGTATAGTTCGATCAACAAGGCTACCCCCAGATACCGATGATTATTGGCAGGAAATGGTTATTTTCTATACTGGGATAGGCCACCTTGGCTCTTTTATGACTCGTGGACTTCAACTCCCAGAATTCCTGAGCCAGCCATGCTGAGGGGA